TAAGACAGTGACCCTGTGCCCGGGGTGGGTCACAGACATCAGCGGCCTCCTCATGGCCAGAGCTGAAGGTTGGTGGCTCTAGGACTGGCCTCCTGTGATGAAGTACTGTTTATCACAGTCTTAGCTAATGGTTCCCCTTCACGCTGCCTGAAACTGAGGGTCAGCCTTCTTTCCCATCACATGGTGTTCCAGTTATCCATTGTTGCATAACTAACCACCCCAAAATTTAGTGGTGTAAAACAACATCAGTTTTATTATGTTCATGATTTTGTGGGTCAGGAATTTGGTCAGGGCATGGGAGTTCTACTCTTCTCTGCTGTGCAACATCTGGAACCTCAGCTGAGATGGCTCAAAGGACTGGAGATGTTGGCACTGCTCCACTGGGGCCATATGTCTGGGGCTTTGTGTCCACTCCACATGGTACCTGCTGGAGCTGAAATGTCCAGGATGTCTCCTTCACTCCCATATCAGGAGCCTGGGCTGGCTGTAATGTCTATTGCTCTCCAGTTAGTCTCTCTACGTGGCTAGCTTGGAAATCTTTATAGCATGGTAGTCTCAAGATGGTCAGACTTTTCTACACATGAGTAGTTTCCCCAAGAGGCCCAGGCAGAAGCTGCTGTAATCTAACCTTGCGGGTCCCAGAGTATCACTCTGCCACATTCTACTGGTCAAGCAAGTCAGGAAGGCCAGCCTAGATTTAAGGAGGTGGAGGAATAGACTTCACCTCTCAGTTTGGGAACAGCATGCATGTACAGGAAGGGGGAGAATTGGCGGCAGCGATCTTGGAGACAAACTACCACACTTGGGGAGGGTTAATTAAGATTGTGTGCTTTTGAGTCAGACATTGGCTCATGTCTCAGCTCTGTAACTTTCTAACTCTATCATTTCGGACAAGTTACTTAAGCACTTTGAGCCTCAGTTTCTTTATGTATAAACTGAGGATAATGATCCACTACAGCACACGATTGTGGTAAGACTTAAATGAGGTAAGTATAGTGCTTGGCACAATGCCTAACACCTTGTAAATTCTCTTGTAACAGTTGTTATTGTTTTTGTTGATGTGTGCCATTGAGTTGATTCGACTCATAGGAACACTGGTGGTGCAGTGTTTTAAGTGTTCAGCTGCTAACCAAAAAGTTAGCAATTCAAACCTATTAGTCACTCCGCGAGAGAAAAGACCTGGCAATCTGCTCCCATAAAGATTTCAGCCTAGGAAACCCTATGGGGCGTTCTACTCTGCCCCGTAGGGTCACTATGAGTCACTTAACGGTACCAAAAAAACCAGACCCATTGCTGTCAAGTCAGTTCCAACTCATAATGACACTATAGGACAGAGTTGAACTGCCCATAGAATTTCCAAGGCTGCAATCTTTATGGAAGCAGATTGCCATATCTTTGTCCCACAATTGGCTGGTGGGCTCAAACCGCCTGCCTACCTTTCGGTTAGCAGGCAAGCGCTTAACCACTGCACTACCAGGGCTCCTCACTTAACAGTAGCCATAGGAATCACGAATACTGTTATTACTCTAGCTTGTCCTTTGCATATTCATGTATTCATTCATTCAGCAAATAGGTGCTGCGTGCTCACAGTGTGCCAGGCACAGTACCAGGCACTGGCTTCCCCACAGTTGCAAGGATAATGTATTGAGGACAGAGACCAGTCAGTCTTTCAGACTCTTTGGACTGAGTCACTGGCTCCTCAGTGCCAGCCAGCATCGTTGGAATAAGCAAGCCTGGCTTTTCCCCTACGCCTCTCTGAAATCGTAACATTATTTTTGTTTTTTTCCCAATAAAGTGTCCTGCTCTCACAATAGCAGCTTTCTCTCATTTTAGATAGTGGGAATGTTACTAGGAAAGGCAGGAGAAATAAACCTGCAAATGACCCTTCTCCCCCAGCTCAAATGGTGTGTCTTCAGGTCCCCCCTCAAGGGCCCTGGTGTGCTGGGATGGGCAACACAGCATTCAACATACAAAAGCCCCTCAGGAACAGGTAGTCCTGATGTCTCAGTGCCCTTGGGCCCTCCCTGACATCAAGCATTGATACCTCAAACACTTAAGTTTGCAGAAAATATAGGAACGGTAACGATGTGCAACTCTTTACTGAATCATAAAAGAACAACACTATAGGGCATTCTGAAATAAAATGAAAAGCAAGATGTTGAGGAGAATGCAGACCAAGCCAGGAGATGCCATTTGGCAGGAAACCTTAGCCTCACCGTCTGGTCTCTGTGTCTTATATGAGCCATTTTCTAACATGAGGAGCTAATTAACAATGCAAGGGCAGAGCTTCTAACCCATTACCTTTCAAAACCTTTAGGCTTCCCATAATAGTCGCGTGAAAAATCTCAACTTGCTCAAGTGAGCATCTTTGACTTTCTTTTGAAGACACTGGTGCTTTAAGTACATCTCACTTTCAGGAACTTGTTTTTAGGTTAATGATAAAAGAAGTTCACACTCATTAAGCTCTACCGTTGCAGCAACTAAAGGTAGCATGTTATAGCATCGCTGAATCTCACACGCAACACTTCCCCTTAGTCCAGTTTTCCACCCAGAGCATGTATATCTGCTGCATATCCCAGAGAGATGGCCATCAGCCATCTCCCACGGTCATGGTGAACAAGACCAAGAGCTTACCAACTTCCTTTTGATAATAGAGACATTGGAAACCCCAGTCCGGCTTTCAGGGGACCCAGTGGAGCACTAAAAAACAAAGCTGACAATGACGTGAGCACCAAGCATAGGCAGTTGAAAGGGCTCAGCCTTCTTTGTGCCGTGATGGTCAGAGATGTCTCCCGTCCTCCTCCACTATCATTGGTTGGTGAATTACTAATTTATGAGTCTGGCTTATCCTGGGAGGCAAACACAGGCTCTGTGTTCATTGCAGGGAAGTGCTTGGCTTGCTGCACAAGATTCAGTATCTCCAGCAAGCAAATATCTTGTCTTGTAGGGCCATTATTTCTTAGCAGGTAGCTCAAAGAAGACAGACATATTCTTTGTCAAACCAGCTCTCAATCTCAGAAACGTTTTCCCCACTTGGTTCTAAAACCTTGACAGTCTGGCATTGATCTGAAATCTGATCAGTCCAGAAACCCATGGGCTTCTTCCACATGGTCCCTGAAGACCTTCTCCTCCTCACCCACAGTTCCAACCAGTTCTCCCCATAAATATGGAAATTGAGCTACGCAGTAGGCTTGAGTGAGGTGGAGGTGGGTATAGAGGGAAGAGAAAGGTTGCAATATAAGCATAAGCAGAATACTATTTCTGTGATTGTGAAAAACCATGAGCCGACATTTATCAGAATCTAAACTTGGGACAGGCCATGTCTGCTCTCAGCTGGTAGGGTGATTTATTTTGATTGTGCTAAAAATATATATAGCAAAACATTTGCCAATTCAACAATTTTTACATGTATAATTCATTGACATTATGTTCATCATGTTGTACAACCATCACCATTATCCTTTTCCACCATTTACAGAAACTCAGTGTCCCCTAAGCAATGACTCCCCCTTTCTCCTTCTCTCCCACCTTTGGTAACCTCTAATAAGCTTTGGTTTCTGTACGTTTGCCTATGTCATATAAGTGACATCATACAATATCTGCCTTTCCGTAACTGACTTATTTCACTCAGCTTAATGTTTTCAAGGGTCATCCACGTTGTAACATGTATCAGAACTTCATTTCTCTTTATGACTAAGTAATATTCCATTGTGAAGGTCCCTGGGGGCACAAGCAGTTTGTGCTCCACTACTAACGTAAGAGTTGGAGGTTCGAACCCACCCAGCAGCGCCATGGAAAAAAGGCCTGCCAACCCTCTTCCATAAAGATTACAGCCAAGAAGACCCTATGGAGCAGTTCTACTCTGGAACACATGGGGTTGTCATGAGTCGGAATCGACTAGATGGCAGTGGGTTTGTTGTTTTGTTTGTTTGAATATTCCACTGTATGTAAGTATCGCATTTTGTTTATCCATTCTTCTGTTGATGGGCGTTTAGGTTGTTTCCACCTTTAAACTATTATGAATAGTGCTGCAGCGAACACTGGTATACAGGTTTGGTGCAGTGATTTTAAGAAGGTCCTCTTCAGAGACCTAGCCTGTGACCAGTGTGCATCTACTTTTTGATACACTGTGACCTCGGTGGTGGTGCCAAGAGCCTACCTCATGTGGATCAGGCAGTGTCATGCTTCAGGGAGAGAGCTGGGTGGAGCAATGCTTAGAAGAGAAGGCAGAGATCAAAGACACATTTCTGGAGAAGGGAAGAAGGCTAGACACAGTCTTAAGAAAAGGACTGACTGAGGGTCCAAAAAAAAGAACTTTTGTCCCAGGTGCTGCTTGGCATGGCATTTTGGCCTGACAGAATCTCCTGTCTCTTGCTGATTTGATGATAAAATATAGAGTGGACCCACGGGGAGAGCAAAAGCCTCAAGCAATAGATGGATAATTGGCTCTGTTTGAGCACTGTTTGCATGCTCGCTGGTGTAACTGTGAGACGCCGCATCAGCATGACTAATGCCTCTCCCCTTGGCCTAAATTAGATTTTGATTGTGTTTAGTAGATAGTCACTGAATCACAGATGTTTGAGGTAAAAAGACCCAAACTTCTCAGGAACACCTCCTGCAGAGTGTGTGGGATCATCCTCTCAGGCCTGGCTGAGGCTTCCAGAACTCAGCTGAAGGACCAGAAGTAACTCCTTCCCTCCCAAGGCCCCAGGAGCAACCAGGGGAGCTGTGTAATGGAATGGGCCTCCTTGGGCTGGTGGGCTGTGGGCCCTGTGCTTACGGGGTTAAGTGGGGAGCCACACCTTAGCGTGGCTGTAGTATGTGTGTCACATCAGTGACTAATGGCTTTTTTAGAACCTAAATTGTCCTCAGAATGTCCTCATGGATTTTCACTGAATCACGGCTGTACCAGGTGTAGTGGTTGAAGGTGTTCCTCAGCCCTTCATCTCCTCCTGACCTGCAGTGTGCCCCTAGTTAATGCTTTCTCATTTTTCTTGCAGAATTTAGCCTACGAAATCATCCTAACCCTGGGACAGGCATTTGAAGTCGCTTACCAGCTAGCACTACAAGCAAGAAAAGGGGGACATTCCTCCACGCTTCCAGAAAGCTTTGAAAACAAACCCTCAAAACCCATCCCCAAGCCCCGCGTTAGCATTCGCAAGTCGGTGGTAAGTAGAAGAGATACAGGTGTTCCAAAAACTCCAGCAGGAGCGGGAGGAGGTTGCTCACCCGGCCCTTGCGTGGTGTGGGTGCCATTTAGAATCCGGGCCTGCCCTTCATCCTTGCCCTTGGCCTCCTGTGGCATGTGTGTGCCATTGTCTCATCCTCGTTCTAGCAACGCTGTGGGAGACCACCTGCCTGAATCTGGAGACTCAGAAAAGTCTACTTTCACTACCTTTCACCTGTAGCAACCCTGTGAGGGGCAGGGGGTACTGCTGCTGTCCTTGGTGAAACTTTTCTGAAGGTGCAGGAAAGCTCTCTGAGGTTTCAGTTGCCATACCACTAGCCTCTCACTCGCCCCTGGCCTCTGTTAAGCTTTGCAGAGATGCACAGAGAAGGTGTCTTTCACGCCCAGCTAGAGGAAGCTCTGTGCACAGGCTGATGTGCGGTCCCATGAGCTGCTCCACATTGTGGGAGGCCTGCGCCTGGCCCTGGGTGCTTTTCTCTCTGGCAGCTGAGGCATCCTGCAGAGTGGTGACTGCTCAGAAGGTGCAGCCCCTCCTCCTCGTCATCTGCCTTCCTCCAGGAATTTCCTCCCCTTCCCTCCTACAAGCTCTGCAGACATCCTGTCCTAACAGGCTTTCATGACTTCAAAGCGGCCTCCTCTGGTAGTAGCAATACCCACAAGCTGGAAGTTTCCCAACCAGCCTCCCATCTGGTTTCTGCTCTGGCTGCTGTGTCACATCCTAGAAACTTGGGACTCACACGGGGCCGGCAGACATCACCCAGAATGCATTGCTCTCCCGCCCACGTAGCCTTCCATCTGCAGCTCTCTCCTCCTCCCCACCTACCGCTGTTCCCAGTGTCATGGGGGAAAAGTGCGATTTTTTCACATTTGCAGAAAGGCACCTCCCTTTGTGACTGTGTGAGCTGCTTGTTTACAATCTTCTGGCCCCAAAGCCTGTCTCTATTCTTGCCAACTTCAGTGTCCATGGGAAGATCCCATCAGCATCTGGCCCCTTCGTTCCTTAACAGCTCACTTCTGGGGATCTTTTCCTCCGCCCCATCTCAGCCACTCACTCCAGATGCGTGCAGGTTACTTTATTATCACCAATAACCATGCCTTCTTTAAAAACCCTTATTTCAAACACTACTCCCTGACTCCTTGGTCCTCCCACCTCAGCACCTACCGAACCCCACTGGTGCTCCCAATTCTCTATCTCCAGCCTTGACCTACCCACAGAACACCGAACGTTTATGTTCAATTCTCTCCTTAACATTTCCACTGTGGTATATACCAGACGTCGGAAAATTAATAAGTCTAAGGCAGAATGCTTGATTTTTCCCTCACAGCTACTTCCCTCTAGATCTTCCCCATCTCAGTAAATGGCACAGCCATTCGCCCTGCTGTTAAAGCCAGAAATCTAGGAGTCATCCTGGATTCCTATTTTCCCCTAACCCCTATCCAACCCATCAGCAAATCCCATCCACTCCACCCCTAAAACATATCTCAGATCCTTCCACTCCATCCATTTCCCCTGCCACTGTTCTAGTCTAAGCTGTCATCAACTCTCGATGAAACTACTGCCACTCACTTCCTAATGAACTGCGTCACACACAGCAACTGGAGGGAACTTCTTAAGACATAAATCAGATCATGTCACCCCTGCCCCAAATACCTGAAACTTAATTTCCCAGCACACTCCCCTGTGACACTCAGGCTTTCCGGTTTCTTGAACATACTAAGCTCACTCCTACCTGAGGCCTTTGTCATACCTGTTTTCTCCACCTGGAATATTCTCCCCCTAATTTCTGCCTGGCTGACTCCATCTTGTCATTCAGGTTTCAGCTGCTCTAAGTGGTGTTTCCTGCAGGGCTTTGTGCTGATTTGTTCTGGTTCAAAGCCCTGGTTTCCTGACCATCCAGTCTTAAGTGGATGCCCAGTCAGGCTCAAGCATATCACTTGCTTTTAATTCTCTGTTGGACCTTTATTCATTGAATTGTTCATTGTTTTTTCTTTTTTAACTTATTTACTTGTTTATTGTCTATCTTCCCCCACTAAAATGTAAGTTTCATGCACACAAGGACCTCATCTGTTTTGTCACCACCTGGCCCATAGCCATTTCTGGTGCTCAGTGAATATCTGTGAATGAATCAATGAGGACGTGTGGACAGAATTAACAAAGATACCTTTGTGAAGGAATAGGCTGTTAAATGTCCAAGAATGTTCAGAGTGTTTGTGGAATTACCTCTTATGATTACTGTGTTTATTTTCACAGTGGACTGGATAAATCTATTCATGGCAGGTGCCTCCATCTGACTTTACTCTGGTCCCCCAGACTTCTTCCAGAGGAGCACAAAAGACTGGGTGCAATAAGGGCTTATAGAATATTCATCTAAAAGCCTCTCCGGGGAAATGTGAAAGTATAGACTGAATAATAATGTTCTTTACCTGCCTCAGGAGCCTCTCTGCCCTTCTCAGCTGGTGTCAGTGTTCCCTGGCCTTCCTCTCCAGTTGCTTAATTGTTGAGAAATATCCAGCGGTCCCTGAAAATACGGGAAGCTGTCCCCCGAGCCTTGTTGCTCCAAAGCTCACAGCTTAAGAGAAATAGGAGAGGCCTTCCGCAGCTCGCTTTACCCTCCCGCTCCTGAACATAGCAGGTGGCCAGGGCCAGGGGCAGAGGTGGGAACACCAAAGGATGATGCATCCGTTGGAGGAATTCACCCTGGGCCTTTCCTGAGAGCTAACAGCTCAACCTTCACCCCAGGAATGACCCCATCTTACTTTGAATGCATAGCCATTTTATAGCACAGCTGGGTTTGGCTCAAGGCTTCTCCTGGTGTAGCCCCTGATATCTCTTCACCCTCAGTTCTCCCCTATTCCCATCTCCTGCTGTGCGGACTAAATGGAAGTCCTCAGAGGGCCACTTTCTCTTACCCCTGGGTTTTTGCACAGGCTGTGCCTTCTACCTCAAATGCCCCCTCCTCCCAACTTTTCTAGGAAAACTCTCGTTTATCCTGCAACTGTCCATTTAGACATCACCTCCTTCATTTATTTTTTCAACAAGTGTTTAATGTGTGCTTACTATTAACTGGCTTGCCAGGAGCTTTTCTAAATTCTGGGGAAACACCAATGAACAAAACAGACAAAATCCTGCCTTTGTGAGCATACATTGTAGCCGAGGATGAACCAACTAAAAAATAATCTATGATATGTGTGGTGATCTGTGCTGTGAAGAATAAAGCCGAAGAAGAGGAGCATGAGTCGCTAGAAACCTGGGGCGGGGGGATTTTGTACAGACAAAACAGGGGTTGTCAGAGAAGGCATCTACAAGGAGGTGGTGTTTGAGCTGAGACATAAATGGCATGAGGGTGCAAAGCCTGCAGGTATCTGGAGAAGAGCAATCTGGGCAGGGCAAATGGTGAGTGCAAAGGCCCTGGGCGTGAGCTCAGCGGGCAAGGAACAGCTAGGCAGTGGTGTTGTTGGAGCACTGAAAGGCAGGCAGGCAGGGGCCCCATAGGTCACGGGAGGATTTGAGTGGGAGGGAAACCACTGGAGGCTTGAGAGCCAGAGAGTGACATGACTGGGTTCATCTCCTCCAGGAAGCCTCCCTGGCGCCCAAACGTGTGTCCACAGAGCCCAGTCCTGTACCCCTCTTAGCTCACTTCTCAGACAGGACTAAAATCTGTTTCTGTGTCTGGTCCCCATCTGAGCTCCATGCCTGCCCTTGAGGGCAAGAGCTGTGTCTCTTTCCGCCGTCACACCCCAGTTCCTTCTCAGTGCCTGGCACACAGCCGATACACAGTCAGTGTGTGTCACAAGAAAGAACAAATGGTTCTCATATACAAACATCGCTCCAGTCCTGCCTGGGCGTAATGGGTCCTCAGGTTGGTTTCCAAGCAGGGTTAAGATGCATGTTGGCCCACCTGTGCAGGTACCGTATTTAACAGGCATCAGCCTTTCTGTTTTAAAGCAGATCGACCCATCTGAGCAAAAGACTCTGGCCAATCTGCCGTGGATTGTGGAGCCGGGCCAAGAAGCCAAAAGGGGAATTAATACCAAGTATGAAACCACAATTTTCTGATACTCGCCGTCCTCCTGTCCTTGCGGTGCCTTGCACGCCAAGCAGTCCCGGAGCAGGCTTTCCTTCTCGCCTCCGTTTCCACCCAGCCCCGGAGGAAGACCGCTCTGTTTGTGTGGCCTTGTCTTGGGCGAAAGGCCACTGGCCATTTCTGGGGAAGTTCTTTCTGCACCAGTGACAAAAATGCAACCAAGACTTTCCAGCCACAACCCCTGAGAGGCAGGAGTTGAGACGTGTTTTCCCTGATACTCCCAACTCCCCGTCCCCGCCACCACCCAAGGTATTTCTAATGACCCTGCCCCAATACTTGCTTTGCTTTTTGGGGGGATAATACCTTTTGAAAAATCAAAGGGGATCTCTAATACTACCTAAAAGTCTAAAAATCTTGGGTTTCTTTTTCACTGTCAACAGTTTTAATGGTAAAATCAGAACAGAACTACCCCCATAAAGCATCTGTAAAATCATTGTATCACTGAGTATTGTTTAATACAAAAGGACAAAAACTACCCCCATGATTGCCAAGAAATTCTGTTTCCCAATTTCTATATTTGTGGATTTTATATGTAATCAACTATGTCGGATAAAGAAAACCTTTACATCTAATGATTGACTCAAAATTTAAGGACGATTTAAAAAAAAAGTGATTTATTATGCACAGAAAAATGTGTCTTGTATTAAATATTTTTATTAAAAGAATGTTTCATTAATGCATTGATAAGAAAAACTAGGTTCATTGTGAGGGATGTTTTTGGCTCCATTTCAAATAATTAAATTTCTATGCTACTACCAAGAGGACTGGCTCAGTTGGGGCAAAATACTGATGATGCTTAACCAGAGCAGGAGGTTCGGGCAAGCAGACTGGCGTTGAACCAAAAGTGCTGATGCAGCCATAAAGCCTGCAAAGATTGTTTTTTCTGTTGTTGTTGTTGTTTTTTTTTTTTTTTTAAATCTTCACAGTGTTTTAAAGAACATGTTTAAAAAAAAAAAAAAACTAGGGCTCCTGATGTCAAGATTTCTTTCATGGAAACCTTGAGAAAGGTGTTAATAAAATTCTATTGCAAAAATTTTTTTCTAGAAAAAAGATAAATACAAAAAAAGAAGATATTCCAAAGTAATAAACTCTTTTCTTGAAACAAAAAAAATAAATAAATGTTTGCTTACAATTTGGTTAAATAAAATTTACTTACATTTCTTTAAGGTATTTTAATTTTTTTAATGTCTCTGTGGAGTATTTGTATGATACCATAATGTATATTTATGTAGAATCAAATTATATAAACAGTACCAATATCATTATAGAAGAAATTAACATTTTAATGTATATTGTTCTAATCGATCATATTGTGGATCATTTTGAAGTTCATTATAGCGATATTGATAAATTGTGGGATTGTCTTAATGTTTTTTTTATTAACCAATATTATTTTAAACCTGACTGAGATTATTGGTTACATTCATCAGTTGGTGAGTTCTGAAGGATAACTAAATTTTATTTGAAGCTGACAAATGTATATGATTTTAGTTCAGTGTTGAGAAATTTTAATACAATATTAAATTACTTGAAGTGAATAGTTCCTTGTACATATTTTGCCTATTCACTGTTGATATGTATGTAGTAAATTGAGAGTAAAATAACACTAAAATATGGTACCAAAAGGAAATTGTATAGGAGCAAAGTAAATAGTAGCTTCGCTGAAACAGAAACATATGTGTAAATATGCTTGGGCTTCCAGTTATAAATTTTGTAATTTTTGTCATTTATAGCCTATTAAAAAAAAAAGCACACAAAATAAAACAGGAGTTGTATAGCCACTGGTGCTTGGCATCGTTCTGTGAGCACCTCCCCACTTCCTGTCAGGAGCAGAACCAAAGGCCCAGCCTTCTCGGCATTCACAATTAAGGCATTTTTTGTTGGCAAAATTGTTGAGAACATTTGCGCATTTCCAAATTTCAACCGGTCTGAGAAAGATACACTAGCCTTTGAAGCTTGAATTTCAGCTCAAAAGCTCCATTGTCTTTGTTTAAATATGAAAGGGGTATTAAGGCCCCCAAACCAAACCAACTGCCTATTGCAAGTGGATTCCAACTCATGGCAACCCCGTGTGTATCAGAGTAGAACTGTGTTCCATAGGGTTTTCGGTACTGTGATCTTTCAGAAGTACATCACCAGGACTTTCTTCCTTGGTGCCTCTAGGTGGATTCGAACCACCAACATTTCAGTTAATAGCTGAACATCCAGGAGCATAGCTTTGTAAGGAGTTGCCAAAATAGAAATTTCTAAAAGAGAAAGAACCACCAGATTGAATCACTTTTATATAAGCGCAACACCACATGTTAATTCTTTCATTTTCCCTAAAACACGTGTGCTAGCTGTAGGTAGCGTGATAAAGGGGCCACGTTAGAAGCGTGCTGGAAAGATAAATGATTCACATTCTGTATTCTGTGACCTTCAGGAGAAAAATCTGCCTGCAGCTGGATCCAAATCTGTTCCTCTCAGAAATCCACACCAAACCCACCTCCAGGCACTCCAACTTGACGTATGCAGAGACCCTGGGCTTTGAAGGCCAAAGAGCTAAAACCAGCCCGATAGGGGGTGAGATTCACTGAGACAGAAGAGTGGTTTCCAGCAGAGAGGTTTGGGCAGGGATTTTAGATTGTACGCTTCCACCGGGCTAGTTAGCCCTTTTTTATCTTTGCTGAAGCTAAGAGGTCAGCAATCCTCTTATTTACATTTCTGTGGATCAAATCCTTATTTGTATCAGTTATTCCCAGCACGAAGCAGATGGCACACTCCAATTGGGATCATTTAAGAGGCTATTTATAGGATGATGAAAAAGTTTTGGAAATAGTGGTGATGGATGCAAAAAGAAAAAGTCTATTTACATAGGTGTGGACAGCATGTAAGGAGATCTGGTAGCACCAACAGTTAAGTGCTCAGCTGCTAACCTAAAGGTTAGCCTTCGAACCCAGCCAGTGGCACCTTGGGAGAAAAACCTGGCGATCTGCACTGGTAAAGATTATAGCCTAGAAAACCCTATGGGGCAGTTCTACTCTGTCACATGAGGGTGCTTCAAGTCAAAATTGGCGCCACAGCACCTAACAACAACAACGACGGGGCAGCAAGTGAGGAAACCAGAAGGTGGAGGAGTAACTCTAGGCTGGTAATAGCCACTAGTAACCACACCTGGGCCTGAAGGGGATGAGGAGGGAGAAGGCTGTATGGAGAGGGCCACCCAACAGGTTGAGGGACATGGTCAGCTGCAGTGCCCCTCAGATGCCACTGAGTTTATTTCAACCAGGGCTTCAAACCAGTTAGTTCCAGTTCAAACCCCTGCTGAAAATTTGCATTTCCACCCCAGATACACTGAGTCAGAATCTACATTTTAACAAGATCCCCAGGTGATTCTTATGTGTAATAAATTTTGGTCCCTAACCAGTAGCATTAGAAATGCAACTCCATATGTGCCAGAGTAGACCTGTGTTCCATAGGATTTTCAAGGCTGATTTTTTTAAAGTAGATCTCCAGGCCTTTCTTCCAAGGCACCTCTGGGTGAACTGGAACCTTCCAGCCTTTCAGTTAGCAGCCAAGCACATTATTAACCATCTGCACCATCCAGGGATTCCACTGGGGTATAAAATACCCTGACTTCACTCTCCATCTTGCATTATATATACCCAAGTGGAAGCCATAGAGCAAGGAACCCATTGATACAGCCCACACAGGGCAGAGAAGAGGGACAAGTGGATCTGGAGGGGCCAACAAAAGAGAGCGAGTCCCTGTACTGAAGGATGTGCAGCTAGTTTTCTTGAAGAGGAAATCTGACACATTGCTAACTGCTACAACCATGGGGGCGGGGCGGAGTGGGGGGGGGGGTGGCTCCTCAGATGCTAATATTATTCAGGAAAGGACTTGAATTCAGTAACTCCATTTAATTTTTTTTCCTTATTTCTCAAATTATATTCTATGATAAATTTGGGTGAATGAACCATATGAAAATTATGCCTGGTTAATTCATTACTAAGTCATGGAGGTGATTTTTCTCAAGACATACCAGGAGCTTTTCGGTTGGAATAAAGTTGCCGGTGCATATAATGTTGGGATAAGATAGAGCAGGAGACAGGCTTAGAGAAAGAACCCATGGCCAAATTCTCACAAATCCATAAAAATTCACACTTGGACCCCAAATAACATTGCTCTTCAGCTATTTCTGTAAAACAAAAATTTGATAAGTGGTGTAGCCTTCAGAGTTCTTCCTTCTTCCACAGAATTGGAATGTAATGACTGTTCAGAAATCTATATGGAATAAAGCCTTTTTTTTTTTTTAGACATTAAAATTTGAAGGTTTTTATATAGGCCAGTCGCTGAGTATGTTTCCTATGAAAACTAAGCAATCTGACAGTGATCAAAGCATTTTTTAAAAAAAATTGGGTAAGCAGCCATCACAGGCCAGCATAGATTCTACCTGCAGCAAGGCGGCACAGCCCACCCCCACTCCACTCCTGTCTCCCCCACACCCAGCTGGCACCACTCACACTGCTGTCTGTGCCTCTAAGCAAATGAACCCAAGCACCTGCCTGGCCCAGCCACAGAGTCCTGCCTCCCACAGGAGCCAGTTCCAACAGGCGCAGAGAGCATGCTGTGCATTTGCTTAGCCTTTTCTGTGTGGTTCCATTAGTACCCATGAGCCAGAACTTATTCTTGTGGTGGAATTAACCCTAAGACTTTGGTACTGACCTGGGGGGGTGCCAGTTCCACTTAACTGTCTCCCGTCTTCATCTCTGTTGTTGTTAGGTGCTGTTGAGTCAATTCCAACTTGACGGCGACCCCCTGTGACTCAGTAGAACTTGCCCCGTAGGGTTTTTTGGGTAACTAATCTTTATGGGTGCAGATCGCCAGGTCTTTCTCCCACAGTGCCACTGAGTGGGTTCAGACCACCAACCTTTAGGTTAGCAGCCTAGCACTTAACCATTTCGCCACCAGGGCTCAGTCTATTTATTAAGAACTTACTCTGTGCTCAGCGTGGTGTCATTTTACTTACTTCTTATGCAAAATGAACA